ACAGACGGACAGACGGACAGACGGACATGGCTAAATCAACTCAGCTCGACGTTCTGATCATATAAGTATACATTTTCATGGGTCTATCTCTTTTTGTTCTGGTACTTACAAACATCGGACCAAAGTTATAATACCATTTCATGCTCATGAAAGGTATAAAAAGTGCAGTAGAAGTTCCTATGTGTGGTAAATCAACAATCTCTACTTAAATAGGCCACCTGAAATTGGGTCTTAAGCTTAATACAAAGTTATAGTATGCATTCCCACGATAGCCGATTCTACGCATCGGATTGACTCAGGTTTTTCCCGACCCAGTGCTTTTATTTCGGCATCCTAACCCCGTTCAGATCGGCAAACCCCATGAATCGGTTTTCGTCCATTGAGCAACATACAAGATATAAAAGTTGGCAACTCTACTGTGAGGATGTGGAAAATTTCATAGTGTCACAAAGTGGAAAAAATCAATAAAAGTAGTGAAAATAATATAATACAAACACAAACAGAACCGTACATTATTGACCATAAGTGCTCCTAGAATGAGTTCAAATCCCAAATTGATCACGCAAACCTCAACCTGTGAAGACGTACATATTTATACTGTGCTCTGCTTTGACTTTCTTTTTTAAAGATTTTGTGCTAATATTTAGTTAAGTTGAGAGTAGGGACACGATATCGAACCGAAAGTATCGATATGGTACTCATTTAAAGTATCGCTTTAAAAATATCGGGTACCCATTAAAATCGGAATAAAAAGACTCGATATTCCAAATATTGATACCAAAATCCAAAAAATGTATCTGAATATAGGTTTCGCATATAGGCCGCTGGGGTGTAGTGGTTAGAAGGGCGCAACCCTTGAAAATGAAAAACAGCTTCCCATAAAATACAATCGCCGTTCAGAGTCGACATAAAACTGTAGGCACCCCCTTTGTGCCACAACATTAAGGCCCACGCGACAAATCGGAGGAGAAGTTCGGCCAAACACTAACATATTGTGTGAGCGCCGGACTTTATTATTATTACAACACGTAGAGATTGAGGTGTTGACTTTAACATTTGTGGTGTTCACAGTTCGTTCCAAATAGTGTCTGAAAATGTAGACGTATACATNGTCTACATTTTGTAACCTCGCAGCAGGGTTGCATTATGTCAATACTAATCACATTTTTTTTATTTATTGGGCACGTTTTTTGTATTTGTATTTAATTTGAGCGCAATTTCTGATGAAAAGAAACAAATCAAGGAAAAGAAATAACAAATATTAGGAATTGGTAATTAAGTTAAATAATTACAATTTTTCAGAAACAAAATCGAAAGGCGATATATAAAAAATGCACGCAAAGAGGAAATGTCTGGCAACACCAGCAAAGTTTTGAGACGATTTTGCGACGACTGCTAGAAAGGGGTGCTCACAGTTTGATGCTAAAGATGNCTACTTCATTTTAGTACGGGAGTATTTTAATTGAATATTTCCATTATATGTACGTAGTGTATGTATAATGGAAAATCCATTTGGTTAAGACTTTTCACTTGATTTAAATACGAACATTTTTAAACGGTAATTAATTGGGGTGTTCACAGTTCGTTCCAAATTGTGTCTGAAAATGTAGACGTCTACATTTTGAGACGTCTTTAGCATCAAAGCAAAAAAGCATTTTTCACTACACGGATGGCGTTTTGCACGTCTCGGATGCTTTTTCATATGTAATTAAGAAGGTATATGTATACAAAGCATGCACAGCGGTGACAACACATACACACATACATGGTATGACATAATGCACTAATCGCGCGCTGTGATGTTGATTCAAACTCAACATTTGAAAACACCTTTACATGTATGGCTGTAGCTGAGTGTGCAAAGACGCTTGATACAATTAATTGCGGCCAAGAGGGTCCGGGTTTAATTCCCATCAGACGGAACATAAAATTAATTTTTTTTCTTCTTAATTACGAGAAAGCATCTGTGCACTTCACAACCACATATTTAATAACGTATATACTCAAATTTAAAACGAGTTGGGTTGGTGCTCTTTCATATGCGTATTTTTTCAATTTAGCACGTTTTTTTTAATTCTAAAATTTTTTCCCTCAGTGCTGGAATGTGTGTTTTTGACATGCGATACGATACTAGGGTTCTGATACTCGATTCCAAAAAATATCGTTTTAAAACTATCGAGTAGAAAATATCGGTATCGAATGCCAAAAGTATCGATATGGTAGAGATATAGTGCCAGTGAGCATTTTGTGCAAATAAAGATAAGTAAAATATATTATTATTTTGTTTTATATTAGGGGTATTCTCGAAGTCTTGCACGATGGAAGGATTGCACGAAATGCAAAAATACTATTCCAAATTTGGAAGAGTACGAGAGCACCCCATTGCAAAGTGGTAGCATGCATAGGTAGCAAGCAGCGGAATTCTGTATCAAATACAATAACAAGATACAGCAAAAAAAAAATGAAGTGAGCGAGATGGAATGAGAGGAGGAATGAGAAATATGTAGCAATTCCAACAACAAAACAACTAGCACAGGGTCGCATTTATTTTGCTACGCATATTTTTCAGCGATAGGAAATGGTATTTCCCATATATTTTGTTGTTGTGTGTTTGCAAGTAATTTGCAATCCATTCAATCCGTGCTACGTGCAAGGGCTTTGCAAGATTTGGAGAATACCCCTATTGTTTTGAAGCAATTTAATTAATTCCAACTATATACAAGTAATCTTGCCGAGTCATCAGTTGCTATCATTTTTGTTGTGAAATCGTAATTCTTGTGTAACTGCAATTGTGTTTGTTCTTGCGCCTTTCTTTTGCTCTTTTTGTTTACTTGTTTTAGTAATTCCTGTCACAGCTGTTTGCTTTGTGTTTATTGAGTGCCATATTACAGTGATTCTCAAACTGTTCGCTTCATTTAAGACTAAGTACATCAGCTGATTTTAACTAACCTCCTAAACTCTTTAAGTATTTTGTTTGCCTTTTTATTACCATAAGTGTTATTAATTTTTCACTATGAAGTGCGATCTTGATAATTGCCAAGTTAAAAGCGAAACTGAACGTTTTTTATTGTGCTGGGTCTGTGATGGTATTTGCCATCTAATGTGTGCTGGTTTGAAAGGAAGAATTCCGGACGCTATTAATCATGGCAAAGGTCTTCGCTGGTCTTGCTTAAAGTGCAGGTCAACCGAAGTTTATCTCTTTAAGTTGTTTAGACAAACCAGAAATGGTGTTTCAGAGGTAGGGAGAGAGTTGTCGGCACTGACCGTAAAATTTAAGCATTATGAAAATGTGTTCAAATCTTTTAAATGCTTAGATATCGTACAATCCATTAAGGATATTCGTGTGTCTAAACTTAAGTTGTGGCATCGTCATCTAATCCTCCAACGCTTACTCTACCCTCAATGAGTAACTCAGTTACTCAACCCCTTCCGCCGGTTATCGAGTCTAATACTAGGAGACTGGTTGTGGTTCCCACAAAGAAGTCTATGTTTGTCTCTAGATTTTCGAGGGATACTTCCGAAGACGATATAAAGTTTTACATCTCGTCCAAAGTTAAAAATATCAAGAAAGAAATATTTCTTCATTTAAAATTTACGTAAATTTAGAAAACTTTGACATGCTGCTTAGTAGTTCTTTTTGGCCCACCGGAACTTTCGTTCGTGAGTTCGAGTATAGACCCAACAAAAATAATAATTTAGCAAACATTCCCCGTCAGAATACTGAATCAAAAAACTGATTACTAAATCGACTTTAAGTATTTATTTATTAAGTTATTATCAAAACGTAAGAGGCTTAAAGCTTAAACAGACGGCAGCGTTGATCCGGACTAACTCGGACTTAATCCGGATCAACTGCAGTTAATTCCCGAGCTGATCCGGATCAACGCTGCCGTCTGTTTACGCTTTTAAATACTAAATTAACGAATTTATGCCTTAATGGCCTTGAATGCAATTATAATATAATTTCTTTCACTGAAACTTGGCTCAAACCTCACATTTTCAATTCAGAGATTCTTTCAAATTATTATCATATCTACAAAAAAATCGTGAGGGCAGAATAGGCGGTGGCGTATTCTTTGCCGTAGATTCTTCAATAACATCTGAAGAAGTTAGTCTTCCGCACACTGAATCTGCAGAATTCAAATGCATTCGTGTACAGGTTGGAAGGGGGTTTACTTATTTAGCTCTATGCTATATTCCTCCCCAATTTTTACGTGCTATGCGTTGGGTAACCGCTTACACGCAAAACCAGTTTAACAGATTCTTATGTGACAACGCTCATGCAAAGCTAAGTATGCATAACTGGGCTATTAGATCTTGTTTACGTTGATGATGCATCTAAGTCAGTGGTGCACAGCGTTGGCAGAACTCCCAATACAAGGGCAATATTTTTGTATCTGTATGTGTGTACTCAGCAAAACACAAACAAAGTACAAACCTCAGTATATCCAGTAAAAAAACTGTGGTGAAGTCCTTTATGGGGATAAAGTTTCCAGAGGTGAAATTTTGGGTACCGCATAATTTCTTACACGCAGGGTTGCTTTTCAGTACTAATGATAGAAACTTAAGAAATATTAAAAAAAATGCATATAGTGCATTAATTTTTGGAAGAAATACCATATATTGTACGTACTCTGATTAATAATATTAAAAAATGTATTAGAACCACCGCTTAATGTTATATTTGATNGATGATAGAAACTTAAGAAATATTAAAAAAAATGCATATAGTGCATTAATTTTTGGAAGAAATACCATATATTGTATGTACTCTGATTAATAATATTAAAAAATGTATTAGAACCACCGCTTAATGTTATATTTGATGCAAATTAATTTTGCTACTCGGAACGCTCTGCGCATTGCCACTGAATACTTAAAAATTATATCCCTGGTCCTTGTTCTTTCTGTATTGCATCGTGGTGAATTCACATTTCTCAGAAATTTGGCAACAAAACAAAATGAAGGGAGTATTTTATTTGCTAATTTTAGGATATGTTGAGGCAAAAAAGAAGGCGCAGTTGGAATATGAAGTTATTAGTATGAAGTAGCAACTCAGGCTCATTTGGAAAGTTATGCCGATAAGCAAGATGGAATTTGGAAAAGTAAGTGCCTGGTTTCAGCATATCTATGTATTAAAAAGTAATTAATTAAATTAAATTGTGTTTAACAGAAATGTTTTAAATCGAGTGGCGTTATTTAAGATGTGCTCCAAATATTTAGCGAACTTTTTTTTCGCCTTCTCAACGTGCTAAGTGACAAGATAAGATGACTGCCACCACGGCCGGTAAGAAGCCCGAAGCAAAGTAAAAACTATCTTCCAGGAAGCTGCCTGCTGTCCCCGAGTCGAAGCTGAAGTTAAGCAAGAAGCAGGTCAGTAAACGTGCTACCCTAATCAAGCGTAAACTAAAGCGCTCTGCTGTGATTGCACTCCGCAAGCGTGAAAACTTGGAGCATGCTGAGAAATATCAAGCAAAATATCTCCGTGATGGACGCCGTGAGGTGAACTTGCGCCATCTGGCAAAGAAACGCGGCCCATTCTACGTACCCGCAGAATGGCTTTTGTGATCTGTATCTGCGGTATCAAAAAAGTTGCACCAAAAGTGCGTAACATTTTACTGTGGTTCCGTGTTCGCCACATTAACAACGGTTTGTTCATCGAATTGAACAAGGCATCCATTAATATGCTACGGATTCCCGAACCCTATATTATATGGGGTTATCCAAATCTTAAATCAGTTCGTGAATTGATCTACAAACGTGGAATTGTTAAGCACAACCATCAACTTGTCCCAAACTCTGACAACTTTGTGATCGAACGCAAATTGTGCAAAGCGCACGATATTCAGTGCGTTGATTATTTGGCAGTTTTCACTGTTGGATCCCACTTCAAGAAAGCCTCCAACTTACTGTGGCCACTACGTTGAGGTTGGTGATTTCGGTAGCCGTGAAGATCATATCAACAAACTGCTGCCCGAGATAGTTTAAAGAAATTTTCTGGTGTACAAGGTTCAGTATTTTTATTTCAAAAATATATAATAATAAAAATAGAAAATAATGTTTTTTTGTAACTTTCTGAAGGTTTAACCCGCAAATATGCCAAATGGAAGGCAGCTTATATTCACAATTCCTTGAACAATGTCGAAATTCTATTGCCGTTTGTAAAGGCCATTTCAAACGGCTTCATTCCACAAATTTAATTTGTTTTGGGTTTTTCAGCTCATTAACGATGCACCCAGGATTGCATTTACCGGGTATGAAAATATTTCATTATGCGTTCCAAAACTAGCTCCGAGCTACTAAAAGTTTGTTAAGCTTAAGTTAAATAGTTTTTTATTTAATATTTATTCCTGGTATTTATTCAAAAAAAAATCAGGTCAATATTAATGTACGAAATGAAGTAAATAAAAATCTAAGAATATATTTATTGAATATTTTGTCATAGAGCCGTTATTAAATAAAGACATAAAAGCGTCGGGCGTTGGTCCTGACGTATATAGAATTAATGCATTAGAGAGAGATAATTATACAAGCTCAACGGGCTAATTTAGGTATACTTACATATGTGTTGTATTGTATTGTATTCTATCATTCTTGACAAACTCCTGCCTTTCGTGACTCGGCGCACAACTAGAAAATATTGGTTCCGTACGTCATGCGGACTGCGCCCCTCGTGCGGATGGGCGGGAATGGAGGGCAAAACCGTTGGGATTATTATTATTATTATTAAACCCTTAACCCGTCAACTCCCATTTGCAGGGTTCTGTAATATTCTGATATTTCTTTCACTTATTCATTACATAATTGAAGATGAGTTGCGTGATATAACCGGGCACTTAATTGTTGCTGGAGATTTCAACGCAAGAGCCGCGGAATGGGGAAGACTGGTCCTTCAAAGGGCAGCCCGCATTGGCCTGACCATCCTCAACACCGGAACGACACCTACATATCGAAGGCCGGGTTTTGGATACTCGATCCCTGACATAACCCTGGTTTCAGAAAGCCTTCTTAGAAGGGCTGACGGATGGCGAATGATGGAAGACCTGAGTGGTAGCGACCATAACTACATCACCTTCCAAGTCACTGACACAACGCGAGAGCAAACACATAGTATCCCTCGCAGGAAACCAGGATGAAACCCGTCTAGGGTCGATGTTTGCAAGTTCGACACATCACTCCAAGCAGATTCCCAACGCATTTCACCCACAACGGTAGAGATCCACAACAGGGCGCCTTGTGATAAGCTGGTGGAAGAAACGATGCACTGCATACACCGGGCATGCAAAGCCTCAATGCCGCAGAGGAGAGCATGGTCAAGTAAAAAGCAGGTGTACTGGTGGAATGACCGAATTGAAGAGCGGTTAAAGGCCTGCCATATAATGCACAAACTCGCAACGCGCGCTCGTGGCAGACCTGAGGCGCTGACCAGAGCAGCAGCTTACAAAAGCACTTAGAAAGCACTTGGAGTCGAGATACAGAAGAGTAAATGGAACTGCTGGAAAGCGTTTTGTTACGAAGTGGATTGTGATCCCTGGGGCCAGGGATACAAACTAGTTATGAAAAAGTTCCATACACCATCGCAAGCGATGGATGAGGTCCGAGTTAAGAATATAGTGGATTCACTATTTCCCACACACCCACTAAGAGCAAATCGATGGCTGAGTGGAAGATCGACCTATCTCGGCAGCCAGTTCAAAAACGCCCTATCTCAGAAAACTTTTCAAGAACGCCCTACTTCAGAATTTGACTGAAAAACTCCTTATTTCAGAATTTTATTTAAAAACACCCTATCTCAGAATTCGGTTCAAAAACGCCCTATCTCAAACGAAAATACATTGAAAATAAGCGGAGATAGGGCGTTTTGAATCGGCAGCTGAGATAGGTTTTCAATCAAATTCTGAAGTAGGGCTTTCTTGAAAAGTTTTCTGAGATAGAGCGATGTTCAAAAATTTTCTGAGATAGGGCGTTTTCGAACTGGCTGCCGAGATAGGTCGATCTTCCACTCAGCCATCGAAATAGAGTGTTCGTCGAGGAGCAAGCTGAGACACCACTGTTTTCTGCAGACGAGCTGAAGTTTTGTACGACACAACACAAGGTCAGATAAAAAGACGTATAACCGGCGGAGCGGCACAGGGGTTTGTCCACGTATGACAGTCTGTTGCGCATGGAAATGCGGGGGAGCGCCTTCCTTGTCGCCTTCGCGGACGACGTGCCCGCCGTCATAACAGCAAGAAACATCCAGCAAACGCAGCTCAAGCTGAACCAGGTAATGCGCAGCGTCAGTGGATGGATGAGCGATTGCAATTGGCTACAGTCAAAACAGAGATCGTGCTCCTCACCAAGAAACGATTACAAACATGATGGTCGGACCTCAGCCCGTGACAACTTCTAGGTCTATAAAATACCTAGGGTGAAGCTTGACAGCAAATTGACATTCTGGGAACACGTTCAAGGAGTATGTGAAAAAGCTGCGCCGAGCACGGTGGCTCTAAGCCGGCTGATGGCGAAAGTGGGCGGCCTGAAGCCATGCCGTAAGAAACTTTTGATGACATCAGTCCAGTCGTTGCTCCTGGATGGGGCAGAAATATGGGCCGACGCATTGAAAGTCAAAACATACCGGATTCAAATGTCTTCGGTCCAGCGCAGAGGGGCACTACGCATTGCTTCTGCATACCGTACAGTGTCCGCGGACGCGGTTCTAGTTATTGCTGGCTTCATGCCAATTGAGCTACTTGCTTACGAGCGAAGACAGATTTACAATCTCAGTGCCGCGATAGGGCGAGCAGCTGCCGCGGCAAGGGCACGCGAGCAACTAATCCAGCAATAGCAACAAAACTGGTAGCCGACCTTCAAACATGGTTGAAAAGACCGCACGGGGAAGTCGATTTCAACCTGACGCAATTCCTCACCGGTCATGGTTACTTCCGAGAATATCTTCATAGAATGTGCAGGGTAGACTCACCGTTCTGTCACTACTGTGGAAACGTCGAAGATAACGAACACCATACATTCTCCACTTGCGAGCACTTCTTATCTACGCGCAAAATGTTGGAAGAAAGATACGGAGACATAACCCCGAACAACGTAATTGGGGTAATGATCTCCAGTGCAAACAAGTGGGAAGCAGTTGCGAGATACGTGAAATTCGTACTCCACTGCAAACGAGAAGACGGATGTCTACTGAGGACACCCGAATGAAACACCCCTACAAAAGAGCAGCCTTGAGGATCAAGTAGCGCGCTGCTGCATCTGAAGATATGCATAATTGTGGTGCCAGATGCTGGGATTGTAATAGACTAGGGGTATTCACTATCAGGTGCATACTTTCTAGCATGGTGCATAGATAGCACAAATATCATGATTGGCTAATTTTTTTGTTGTTTGAACGCATGTAATAGAAAATATCCCAATTCTTCGAAAATGCCTATAAAATGCACCGCAGGTTCAGCAACAACAACAAGCCCTACAAAGTCACATCAACACCAGCCCAAAGAATCCAACAACCAAATGCTAGCCGCAATCCCAGAAAACGCAACAAGATGATAAACTACCAAGATCGTTAATCTCCATTTGCCGCCCGTTTTGGACTCCTGTAGCTCAAAATTCAAAAGCAGCTTCAAATGCTATACAACCAGAGTCAACACGCTGGCTCGCCATAAGCGCAAGTAAGTACCCGTAACGAATGTCCTACATGGACAACTGTCAAAAACAACAAAAGATTCCGAGATAGTCCAGGTGCAATAACTCCCAAAGATACTAAAAACCAGGTTAGGCTCGATAAATATTGGCTAAGAAACCTGCCACCATCTGAAAATAGGTTTGCTTCTCTAGAAACATGAGGAGTTCAATACGTCAAAATAAAAACAGCAGAGGCCCCGCCATTTATTGCTGACAGGGTAAATAATATAAAACCCGTTCATGAATAGGGTTACCAGACCTAAAATGCCGAAAGGGATACAGATAAGAACAAATGGGGGAACTTGGGGTACAGCTGAGAAAGAAAAGGGGGTATTTTTCGGGGGACAAAAAACTTAATGTATTCAACAAAAAATTTATTTATTCGCTTATGGAACAATAAAACCGTCCATAAATGAAAATACATTATCATTTGAACAAAACAAAGTCATACTGGCGATCAAAACTAAGTGCACGGCGATTTGTTTGTAAATACCTGCAATGTTTCTCAAGTAATTTTTTTGTTATTTTTTATAAAAATATTTTTCATGCTTTAACCAATACCCTAAAATTTATTCAAAATTTCAAACTTAATACCAACTCTTCAAAAATTCAACAAATTTCCATAAAAATTTTGGGCTTTTTCATCTGAATTCATGAATATGCAGTTACGTGGCTCATGAAAGTTTAGTAAAATAAGTGCAAGTTTTACGCGGATAAAAATCGCGTAGAATGTTGATACTTTTTTGCTGATGGCTTTTTTCCATACAAATATGAATTTGAGGAAAATGCGCAAGACCGTTTGCATAAAAAATCAATGCCAGTTTTTATAAATTGCACTTCTTATATGAAAAACCCGCTGTTTAAGACTTGCACGTATTGTACTAAAACTACGTATTCATGAATTCAGATAAAAAGTCCAAAATTTGTATTAACTTTGCAAGTTTAATTGATGTATGTATATGGCTTTGGTTAAAGCATGAAAAATATTTTTATATAACAAATGCATGTATATGGCTTTGGTTAAAGCATGAAAAATATTTTTATAAAACAAATAACACAAAAATTAACTTCAAAAACATTGTAGATATTTAAAAAAATCACCCTGTACTCCGTTTTGATCGCCAGTGTTCAGCCTTAAAAATGGCACAAGAATATTTTCAAATAAAAATTATACTTTTCGTTCAACTTTTAAAGCCTGTGAAAGTTGAACAATGCAAACACGCTTTAAGCGGAAACTGAACGATTTCGTTCGAAAATGGGGGACCTACGCAACCTTCCGTAGCAAGGGGGACAAAAGTCAAAATGGGGTATGTCCCCCCGATGGGGTACGTCTGGCGACCCTATTCATGAACTTGCTAAAAGAAATAGCTCTAAACTCTTTTGACTTAAAACTCATAAGTAACGAGGAAGTCAAGGTGCAGGCAACATTGGTGGAAGTTTATAAAGCGATTGTTGCGAAATTAGAAAAAAAGCACAGAGTTCTACACATCGTACAGTTTCCTAAGTAA